TCGCGTTTCTTATGTTTGGCTCGCAAGAAATATCACGAGTTCGAAGAAGTTAAGGCCTAGAATTTTTCCCGGAACAGTTGCGAGCGTACAGCGATCAGAAATCGGGCAGGACGACTCGTCCTCAGTCGGTGTTTACCAGGCTGTCGAACGAGTGCCTCGACGAACGAAGAACGTCGCTTATACTGCGCGATTATAGTCTTGTAGGGAATACATCGAACAACGCGTTTTCGATTATACGCGGATTTCCAATCAATTTACGTACTTAGCATATTCTTTCGTGTGAATTAAGTGCCGCTGCACACAAGAAACTAGTGCACCGAATTCAAGTACACAACGAACAGCTCAGTTGGAGAGAAAAATCAAACGAGAATGCGTGAATGTGTATGCGTGAATAATATGTAGGTATATATACGTACACAATCGAATGATTGAGTTAATTGAAATTAGAGGAGAGCCTACGTATAGCTAATTAGATTAGTTACTGCAACAATTTCGTTTTATCGTATCCTAAGTTTGTTTTTCTTGTAATAAGATGTGTTATAGCTGTGAAACAACAACAAATTAGGTTTTTTACTGTTGTCTCCCCGAGACATATACATATTCTATCCTTTTCTGGAAAAACACTGTCTCCTAGTAAACAACTAAGTCTTTAGACACGACCTACTTCGTTTGTTATTACTCTAACGACAATATACGACAATTGACACTTAGTGCAGGTGATCAGACTTCAGTTTTCCATAAAACCGGAGGATGGTTCCCAACTACGCGGATTTCCATCCACGTGGACAGTCGACGTCTCTAAATCTACGCGTAGTTCGACAGAACACTGTATACACACATGTATATGTATGATTTGTCGCGTAAATGTTTCTGGAAGGGTGCTTAGGCCACCGTAGAATTAAAGGGTGGTTTATGTTGAAATGTCAAGTCACTCAAATATTCATCCTCGATGCATCAGCCTTCATATTCTAGAGAAATACATTCTGAGTGGTAAGAAAAGAAAAGAAAAGAAAGATCAAGCGTGAAATAAAATTTGATAGTTCGGTATTCCGGTCACATCGATTCACAAACTTACCCGCGTTGCTTTTCCCACTCCCGATGATAACTTTGCCACCTAGCTCGAATGTCATAGAGAACAGCTTGCTCTGTTTGTTCCGGTAATCCACCAAAACGCCGAGCTCTCCTTTCGTATAATTCAATTCGACCGCGTGCCAAGACGTGTTATACGGTGGGAATTTCACGGCCGCGGTAACTGTGATGTTCTCCGTCAACACGGGGATCAGTTGAAAGCGAATTTCGTCGTTCACCAGGCGAAGCTGCAGACACAGGGATTATTGCAATAAAGAATCGTTTTAACCCTTTGAGGACTGTAAGTTTTAATCATTTAATCACTTAACCCTTTGAGGACTAACAAAAATACTAACTAAAATTGTAATATTATCGTTTATTAATTATTTACCGAGACTGCGAACTGTATAAGAATATGTAAATTTTGGAATTCAGATTTCGTTAAATAAAATACGAGGCTATGTCTTAAAATGGGCAAGAAAACTCAGTCTGCAGGCTCATTTTCATTCTGCTGAAACTCGATAGTCAAAGTGTTAAGCATGAGAATATTTAAGGGATATTTTGTTTGTATAAATTTAATATCGTTGTTTTGTTTCTAGTTTTAAAGCCATTGGTGAATTTTTAACGATAGAGAAAAAGACTTTTTAGCATTGTATTTGTGAGATAAAAATTTTAGTAACTTCATCATGAATGCTGTAAAATTTCTGTTTGTATTTTTATTTGCAATGAATTGTAAAATTGAATTGGTCCTGATAATAACGGAAACAAATTTCTTTTTCAACTATAACTTCTATTTATAGTATATTCAGTCTCAATCATACTAGAAAACGTTTTCCTGAGAATTGAATATCAGTAAGCCCTACTAAAGAGCAAAGTGAAAATTCTACTTTCATTTCCAACAATTTTACGAAAGTCTCAGGCGAATAAAATGTTCAAATAAATTTTAAAAATTTTAAATCTAAATTAAATTTAAAAAATAAATTTTTTAAAATCTTTCCATTTCCCTTGACAAGGTTTTTCTCGAATTTCTCAACAGTGTTCCTCTTTTTCGAGGAAAATCTGATTCAGTTACCTCCCAGTATCCAAGTCCACGATTGCTTTTCACCTCCCCTGACGCGACCACAGCCACAGGCTTCGAACTCTTGAAGTCGAAGTTCAATTTAAGAGAGTCGGTCCGAGCTATGGGCCACCAAATGTGGCTGCCCGCGAACGGATAAGTTATTGGAATCACATCAACATCCGCCTCGTAGTACTCGGGCTCCAGTACACCGATATAATGCACCATAGGATTGGAACGTTTCAGCTCGTAAATAATAGACTTATCGTTGAAGAAAACGTATTTCAGCGAGCCTGAAATTCAGTCCATTCACCTCGATCAAATCTTGATAATTGCGTTCCACATTAGGAGAAATTATCGACGAGAAATTTAAATACCCTCATTTAGGATCAAATTGTGCCACTCTTTTCTGGATATTTCTTTCAATATTTCAAAAAGGATTTCAATTTTTCTTTTGGGAATTATATTCGTTGAAGAGTATACAGTCTTTTGCTTTCATTTCGTAAGAGAAAATTTTCATTATTCATGAAATTAGTGCGGTACAATCTGGCTTGAAAGTGAGGTCACAAAAAATGTTACATTGAATGAAAAATGAGAGCTTCAATTTACGTTAAAACAAGCTATCTACAGAGTGACTCATGAATTGTTTCACCATTTAAAAATTGAATAAATTTGTCTCAAAATTTGCAAGAAAAATTTCAAAAAATGTAACAGAAAAAGTTATTCAGTTTTTAAATGGCCACCCTGTATATCTAATAGAAACGGAGGGCATTCGGAAACCCTCGATCGACGATATTTACAAAATTAAAAAAGAAATAATAAATAAAAATTTCAATATTTCTGCACAATTAAGTTTTTCGCATGTCAGCGAAAAATGTACATTTTTGCTTACCCGCAAAATTATTGTGCGAAAGGAGGCCTTTCTTTTTGTGCAGTTCAGGCCCGCCGCCGATGTAGATCTCAGGATCGATGATCATGTTGTAGTTCTCCCCAGGGATTTCCAGTACCTTAATCTCATCGTCCAGGCTGACGAAGACCAGAGATCCAGTATGGAATATCGTCAGGTTGTTCCAATGATTCGAGGTGATGTAGTCACCGAGTACAGTGGCAATTTTCGAATTGTGCCCGAAATCAAGTTCCACGTGCACTGATCCGTTCACTATGGACGCTGCCACGTAATGCGGTGTTCCGTCGATCTCTCCAGACGCGTAGAACAGGGCTGAATCGTCCCATTTTGTCTACGTGGAATATTAAGAAAAATCAATTATGAAAGATGAAAGATGATCTATATTAGCTCGATTTATCACATACCTTAAACGCGAGGCTTATCCTGTTAACAGACGAGTGAACTCTGTCTTTCCAGTCGTAGACACGAAACGAGACGTAGGAAGATCCTCTTAACGTTAAGATTGTGGCCGCTGAAAAAATTCGTAATTTTTCTACGATTGTCTAGAATTTTTGTTTTAGTTAATTTTTATAGAGGAGTTTCCTTTTTTACTGGAAGCAAATTTTTATATACAGAGATGAGACACGTTTTACATACTGTACACATCACATCGTTCTCCTTCGTACTTCGTCCCAAAGCAGTCGCAAGTTAAACTATTATAGTGATTCACGCATTGGCTCGAGATGAAACAGAGATTCTCTCGTGTTCGACATCTGAAATTTATTTGTCGTGTAAATTGGTGATTATCGAAGGGTTTAAGTAGACGACAGTAGAAGATAACGTGGTTGATAGAGTGTCTCACTTGTCTACGCAGCCCTCTTTCACGTTTTCGTGCTTCGTGGCAATCAGAGGCTGAATGGGCAACAAATCGCTGGCCGATTTGCCCGAGCTGAGAACCATGTCTCTTATGCAGCCAACAAACGATTCTATTATGTACTTCACGCCGTGCAATTTCTCCTCGGAACTCAGCCCTAACGAAAATCGTATAATTCATGAGGAAGCTAATTCACTGCTCTGTGATTTTATCTATGGTGTAAATTAACGTACAACCACAAATTCAATATTTCAATTTTCAATTCGAATATACATAGGACGAATAATAAAAAGAAATTCTCTGATTACAATTCTTCTTGATAAACTTCTTTTCAGATTAATTATTTTTAATTAACTATAATTTCATATATATTA